CATTCAACACAATGGACAATACCAGTGAAAGAGAAAACAATGATATCACTTTTAGACTCAAGTTTGAGTTTCCTGCGGGACCTTCAGATGAAGATGTTCAACACCAGCTAGATAATTGGTCTGAAGCTTAAGAGAGAAATTGGGGTTGGAGATATATTTATGATTGTCAGTGTATGGATGAGGGATGAGAGGCAGCAGTGTAAGGAGTGAAGGGTTGATGAGAGAACCTTGGAGAAGACCACAGTGTCAGAGGTGGGCTGGAGAAGAGGATCCAGTAAGAAGGAACTTCCAAAGGAGTGAGGGAAAATGCTGGGGAGAGAGTGGGATCAGAGGAGGGAAGAGAGAATTCTAAGCAGGTTTGTCGAATGTCCGGTCATACCTGGTACCACAGGAAGGCCAAGTCGGGAGAGCTGAGCAGTGTCCACTGCTGTGACCCTGGACATTTGGGTGGAGCCAAGCCAGACCACAGTGGGCTGAAGTCCCAGGGAGTTAGGAAGTCAGACAGCATTCAGAGCACTGGGAAACTCTGGCAGGAGTTTGAAGAAGGGAGAGAAGAGGAGGTGGTTTGAAACTAGAGTAAAAAGGTGGCTATTTAGTAGGGTAGGAGACACCTGAGCTTCTTTATGGAGCAATAAGCCGTGAGTGGACACCTGTGTCCAAGGAGGTAGGCGGGATCTAGAGCCCGGGTAAGGAGAGCTTCTTGTCCTTTCTCCCTCTCTTTGGGGCCTCTGAGCTTCCTGCTCCCCCGCTGGTTATGTTTTAATCAGAGCTGGTTGTCAGTTAATCTCTGCTAAGAAATTTCAGGAATAGCCCTTCGCATGTGAGTATTTGGAAACAGCAGATGGTCTAAGATCCATCTGTTGGGCTCTTTCTCTTCTGCTACCATCCCCTATTCCCCATCTCCTATCCCCCACCCCATCCCATGCCCTGGCCTTTGCCTCTGCCCAGAGAAATCTAGTTCAGGCTTTTCCCCACAGATGGGAGGACTTGCCATCCGCCTTGAAAACATCTTCAGCCTTGGTTAACTAGTTGTCAGCTCCTGGTGAAGCCAGGCCAGCAGGAAGTAAGAGACCTGGGCATCATTCTCCAACACAGGGCCCATGTCACAACCGGGCCCACTCGAGGCCTCAGTTTCTTCCTCTTTTCTATGAGGGAGTGGACTGAAATCACTGTGGTCCCTTCCTGTGGTGTCACTGCTTGGTACTCCATACATGTAGGCATAAGGCTCAGCCCCAGGGCCTCCTACACCTTGGCAAGTCCAACACTGGTGGAGCAGCCGTCAATCTGACCTGGATTGTAAGAGCCCAAGGAGGGAAAGGGGCAAAATCACGATCAGCTTCCTGCTGACCCTTTGGGGTTTTTTCCTCCAGTCACTCTCTATCCCACACACATTCTGCCTTCTGAAAATCATGAATGCCAAGCTAGAAGGTATAGAGGAAAGGGCACTGAACCAAAAGTAAGAAGGCAGCCTTAGAATGCAGCCATTGGCTAGCCATACAATCCCAGCTGGGTTAGTTGATTCCTGTGAGCCTCAGTTTACTCAGACCTATCACACACGGTGATAGGAGTTATTCTGTGAAACTGCGTATGTGAAAATGCCTTGCACAGAGCCTGACATGTAAAAGGACCTTGTTTAAATATTTCTTGGGCCTGAATGCTTAGGATATGAGTCTGCAATACCTATAATTTCTATGATTCTATGGAGTTAATATTTGAGCACGGCAGACCTGAAAAAAAATACATCTCTTTTCATTAATCTTCCTGGAATTGGAATAGAACTTTTTCTTTAGTACATTTCTCTGTTGCTTTGTCCAGTACTGGCCCACTCCCTTCATCTGAATCAGGAACTGCATTTTTACATTCCTTTCAGCTGATACAATTGCAATGCAGCAATTCCCAAGGTAATAGAATAACTGTCTCTCGCTGGCTCTATTTTTTCTTTCTTTTTTTTTTTTTCCTTGACAACAGAAAGCTGCTTTTCCCCTCCAGAGAAAAAAGGGACATCACCCTGTCAATATTAAATTCTGGCAGAAATGGAGCCAGTAAAATGGAAAAAGAAAAAAAAATTTTTTTGGCAACAGCCAGAATGAGAAGTTGCATAGCATTTACTTGTTTGTATGTATTTCAGGAATACAGGGTACTCTGTATTATTGGCAACAATTGCCTCTGTGATCAGTGCTTATTTCTAAGATAATTCTCTTCTCAGTGTGTAGCAGATTGATTGCATTGGTGGCCCCCGTTCTTTACCTCTCCTGTTGCCCTGTCACTTTGCAGTTCCCCTCACTAAAGAGATGGAGTCTATTAGCCTTTGGACTTGGCCACGTGACTTGCTTTGATCTATGGGATATTAGCAGTCATGATGGAAATAGAAGCTTTAAAAAGTGCTAGTGTGATTCCCCTATTTCTTTTGGACCCCTGACATCACCTTGAAAACGTGCCCAGGCTAGCCTACTAGAGCGATGTGAGAGGGATCCCAGCCAAGGCCATCCTAGACCACCCAGCTCCCACCAGCTGACCCATAGGCTATGAACAAAACTAAATGTTTACTGTTGTAAGCCACCAAAATTTTGTGGTTGTTTGTTACACAGCAATAACTAGCTGATACCCATATGTTTGCCTAAAATTTTGGTGCCTGGAGGTGATCCATGACTTCTCCAGCTGAAATGGTAAACAAATCCTTGTACTTCAAGCCCACTGATTTACAGTTAACAGCCTGGAGAGGTAGTTTGAAATCTCCATTCTAGGTAAACTGCCTTTTAATTGTTTCCTAAGTACAACATGCACATCTCTGCCTCTGTATCTTTGTACATTTCATTTCTCCTACTGGAATGTCCTCTCCTCTCTTGTCTGCTTATGTGAATCATTCCAGATCCCCAAGGACCTACTTAAAATCAGCCTTTTCTGAATGACCTGTGGCTGCCCCCTGCCTGCTGTGGCCTCTCCAGCCTATTAACTCTTAGGGTATTTCTTGCCTGGGCCATCAACTGGATACTCAACACATGCTGCCTTAGATGGCTACTGTTTCTTATCTACAGTTGTTTATTAAACTAGATTCCAAGTTCCTGGGGGGCAGGGCTCATCTTCCATTTCTTTTATCCCCCAAGTGTTGCATAATACCTTGAAAAGGGAAGTACAGGGCCTTTTACTAAAGACGTTAATATTTGTAAGTTGACTGACATTGAGGGGCTATTTGTTAGGTATTATTGCTAATGAATAAAACCAGAGGGAGATCATTATGTTGTACACCTAAAACTAATACAATGTTTTATGTCAATTATATCTCAATTTTAAAAAGTTAAAAAAAAAAACCAACTGAGGGGGCAACAAATTTTTAAAAGGATAGAAGTTAGAGGCTTCCAGACTTGAGTTTGTAGAATGTTACCCTACTCTACTCTAATTCCCATTGGGAAAATAAAATCTAACTAAAAATGTCACCTTTTCCCTGAAGATTTTCCTGGTTTCCCATTCTCCTCAAATTAGGTATGCTCACTCCCTCCTTCAAATGTCCATATCTCTTTACTTGTATTTCTCCTAGGGGACCTCACCTAATTTACCTTGGGTGATAGCCAGTCATGTTCTTATTTCTTTCTCGCTCACCTCCACCATCACAAATAGAAGTTCCTAAGATCAGCAGCTACACTGCAATTCCGTATGCATCTCTAGCACCTGCTTATCCCATGGCAGGTGCTCTATAAGTAGTTGATTACGTCTTCATCTGTCTCCCCTCTCCTTATGTTAAATGCCCTAATGCAGGCCCTCATCATTGCTCCCAGAAAATTGCAAAAATCTTCTATTGGCCTTCGTTCTTCTAACCTTGTGTCCCTCCTTCATCTTTCATCCAGTTAGCAATGCACAACATGGAATTCAATTCAAAAGGAAAATCCAACCGGGCTATTCTCCTGCTAAAAAACCTTCTCAATAGCTCCCCTGGCATGCATGGCCCGCTAAGATCTGCCCCAGCCTACCTCTATAGACGCTTCTCCCTTCACGCTGGCCTCAGACTTGATCTACTCCAACAGGAGGGCACAGCTGGTGTGTCATTATCCATGCTAGACTGTTTCTCCTCAACTCTGCCCCGCCCCTCTTCCTCCCTAATTGTCTCATCTGGCCCAGCCCAGCTCATCGTGACCTTCCCTCCTGCCCACCAACTTCCCCCACTCCCTTCAGGGGCCACATTGATTATTGTGTTTGCAACATTGCATTGTGATTATCTGATTAAGTGGAGGTTTGCTGAGAACAAAGACAGGGTTGTTAACATCTTTGTGTGTGCAAAACCTACCACAGCACCAGAACAAAGAAGTACTAAAAAATTGTTGGATGGATGGAGCAGGGATCTGTCTGTAACTGTGACCTAAAGCAGACCAGTTTGTTACTGACCTATCTAGATGTAGGCTTGACATAAGGAACTAATGTCCTCAGTGAGCTCATCCCTTGTATGGTCTTGCCTTCTAGGACTAGAGTAGGATTAAGTTGGCCTGAGTTCAGGGCCAACTGTTACATTTAGGCCCTCTCCCACCATCCTTGGTGCCCAGGCCCACATTGGGCAGATGAAGATTCACTTAAATGTCGCCTAACAGTGGCTGTTATTCACTGAGCACTTACTGTGTACCAGATATTGTTATAAGTGCTTTAAGTGAATTAGTTCGTTCAATTTTCGCAGCAGTCTTCTGGGGTACATACTATTAGTATCTCCATTTTATAGATGAGGGTTAGAAAAGATTAATTAACTTTTCTAAGATCACACAACTGTTGAACATAGAATCTGCGTGCAAACCCAGGCAGCCTGACTCGACAGTGTGTCGTCACCACCACCTCGTGTCTCCCCAAGTTCGTGTTTTTCAGAGGCCTTTCTCTCATTTCTCGGTCCTTCCCTCCCCCAAGATAGAAGGAGAGGTAAGGGCTAAGAAGAGAAAATTTCTGCTTGATTCCTCGTGATTATGTATAGATATGTATTTACCCAGGATGAGGCCCATCTTTTCCTATTTTTTATCTATATGTTTACTTACCCATGAAGATAACTAACTTTTTCACATCCAAATTTGAGTGATTAGCAAAGCACTGTATAATGCAACCAGTTTTGCTTTTTGCTAGCCATTTCTGTTTCTCTGTGGGCTGAAAACCACACTATTGCTTCCTCTTTATCTTTGTAGTGAGAGCACAGCATTTGTCACTCAGTGTCGGAGCAACTTCAGTGACACCACCAGGAAAGGTCTGTATTGGTCCAGATGGCATACATCCTACATGTGGCATCTTTCCTTCTCTTTCTGAGTAAGTGTCATAATTCTGCATGTTTCTATTGTCACAGGAGCTAGTCAACTGGAGGCTGCTGGGTGATGGAGCAGGACAATTTGGTGTTTTTACAGGAGAAACTGTGCCACACATCTCTGGTGTTGCCAATAATTTTTGACTTATTGATAACGTTTTCTTGGCTTACCTAGACATCCTCAATTTCCAGGGAGGTGTAATGGTTGGCTGAGTTCCATGATCCTGATCCCACTGTTTTTTGCATTTATCTGTGTTACCAGTTTTGCTGGCCCTGCCTTTATCTTATCTTCCTGGGCTAACCCATCCCTGGAGAGAGTATGAAGCTTAGGTTCTCAACTGAGAGGGGACCTTAAGGTTTGCCTAATGTTAGAGCTTGACTAGATAAGTGTGCATGGGGATGTGGCTGGATGGAAGGAAATGTTATGAGAACATTTAGTAATTTTAAGCTAAGCTAAAAGAAGATTCTGGACTTCACCTGTGAGCTGAGGTGGAAATTAACTACTGAGAGACTGAGGAAGGGGCAGGAAAACTCACTTGGCTCTGCTGAAGGGCTTTAGCTGGTGCAAGGGCGTTTAAACATGTTAGAACAGGGTGGAGGAAGGGGGAATTTGGAGGTAGATGAGAAAACAGATGAACTGGGCAGGGAATGAAATAGTTCCAGAGCAGGTAGAGCAGGTAGCAGGTACTTTTTTGTGCCATGTGTTCCTTTAGCATCTCATGAAGCCTATAGATCCCATCTTACATAACTTTTTAAATGCCTAAAATAAAATGCATAGGATTATATGGGAAATCAATCATACTGAAATGCAATTATCAAAATATTTTAAAATAAATTGTGATGTAGTAATTATTTGCTTCCTTGTACATTACATAACAAGATCTAGAGGTGGTCTATTCACCACCAAACTTCAAAGTAGTGATGAATATGAACAATATTTCAAGATATCTGCAACAACTATAATGTGACATGAAAATATCTATGATTTGTTGTCTACATTCATGACTGAAGGAGATACTAAATTTCCATTAAGATTAAGAAAATAAAGATATAGGGTTTTTTTTCATCCAAGTTTATGGACCCTTCAATGCCATATCTGGACCCAAGTTCAGAACTCCTGCTTTAGAGGGACTGGATTGAGTTAGTGCAGGGACTTGAATGCAGGGGATGATAGGGGAACTAAAAGAACTTATCAGTGTGACCAGGGCTATGGCTAAAGCATGAAAAGGGGGCAGCATTCAGCACAAAGGGTACTTAAGGAACATTGGCTTGAGTTGAACTGGGCTCATGTCTCAAGGGACGTTGGATAGTGTGAGGTAAGGATCAGATCTGGGGCCTGATGGGGCGAGAAGTAGCCTGCAGGGTAGTTCCTAGGACCAGTTGCTGGGTGATCAGTGCCCACTAGGCTAGTGTGGCAGGCGCTGATAGCTAGGTGGACTGACAGGATCCTGTGGGGACTGTTGGCTGGTGTGTTCCTGTTTGTCCTGTTCAGTTGCCTGAGTGTGATCCTCAAGTGTATGTGTTTTGTGTATTTGGACTGTGTGTTTGGTTTGTGGCTTATATTGTACAAGTCAGACTATTGCAAACGCTCTCTCTCTCTCTTTTTTTTTTTTTTTGTGAGCAGACTGGAAGGCGTAGGGGAAGGAAAGTAGTAACCGAGGTTCAAAAAGGGGAAACTGGGAGCTTCTCCTTAACCCATTTAAACGATTATCTTAACTGGGTTATATAATTATTTCTTCTAAATTCTGACTCATCCTAAGCACTAATTTTGTATAGAACCACAGTTTTTATGTGAAGAACACATAAATCAGAAAGTAACTTGAAAAATCTTTGGAAGCCTGCTGTTTGTCATTACACATATTGAGGGGGAAATGAAGAAAATTAATTAAATGATGATCAGTTGATCAATTGCATTGTGTGACAAATGTATACTTTGTCCTAATTTTTAAAAAATAAATATAAAGACAGATAAATCGTGTTAGAACATGGCGCTAGATGAGGTTAATGTCAAAGGTAAATTAGCTCTTGGACTTAGTGCTTAGCTTTGCCTGCTTGATCTCTCACCCTTCACCCTGACTAGCTGTCCTACAAAGAAAAGCCATTAACACGGGAGGGTCCTGGGGAGGGCCTATTGTTTCTCTTACTGAGACTGTATTCGTGAAAAAAATTCCGCTAGATTATGGATGGAAGCTCTCTCAGCCTCCAAGCATAAAGGGTTTTTGTAAGTATAAAGTAAGAGAAGTTGCTTGTGTGTGTTTGATGTTCTCCAGGTAGGTTTTGTATAAGGTGTAATCATTTTTGTGTATCAAAAATGGTCAAATATGGGCCATTTTCTATGGTTCAATCTAATTCCATTCAAATAATACTGAAATGGCAAATTTGGCAACCCCAGTGATATTTTTGAAAAAAGCCAATACCATCAGAAAATTCTTCCTGTTTCAAAAGTATGACTCCGATGTAGTATGTCAGTGCTGAGCTGTGTGCCCATCAGTCAACAAGAGTCTGGGCGATTGTGCAAAGGTATCTAACCCTCTGTCCATTAAAAGAGAAAGCAATAGACAGTCCTTTGAAGTATCTTACTCTTTTAAGAGGAGGAGAGATATGTACAAAATATCCCACAGAGTATATGTAATAAGATTCTTCAGTGTATGATCCCAACGCATAGCCATTTAAATTGACCTCTGTCAGTCATTCCTTTCCACGTCAAAAGTAACTATGAAACCTGTACTCCATTTGTTTTGCTTTTCTGAGAAAGCAGTACCCTCCCAATCAAGTTCTTGACCTCATGCCCCTACTAGGACCTTACTCTGAGTAATTCACCATCCTCTCTCTGGTTTTATCCATCTCTGTCCTCTACTGCTCCTCTGCCCCTAAACATTCAGTGGTGTCTGTGTCCATCCCAGTCCTCAGTGCTTCTCCCTATCCAGCTACTCTTAATAGCTGCCATCCTACTCTTCTCTTTGCCTCCTCCGTGAAACTTCTTGAAGTAGTTTACACTGCCTGCAGTTGTTTCTTACCCTTGAAATCTGCTGCTTCTGCTCTGCTGGAATCTCTTTTACAAAGGTCTCCACTGACATCCTTATCATCAAACTATAAGGACTTTCTTCTGCCTTTAGAATCCTCAACCCCTCAGCAGCATTGGGCAGTGCTGACAAGCCCTTTCTTATTGGAATGTTTTGCCTCTTTTGGTTCCCAAGCCACTGTGTCCTGGCTGCCCTCCCACCTTCCTAACTCTTCCTTCTGTAGCTTTTGTTCCTCATCCTATCCCCTAAATAGAGAAATTTTCTAGTAATCTCTCTTTAGCCCTCTTCCTTATATTCTCTAACACTTCCCAACACTTATATGTAACTGACTTAATCTGCATCTGTAGCCCAAACTCTCCCTAGTTACAAACAGGCATTTACAGGAAGCTGTGAGAAACAATGAAGACAGCTAGAGATTTGTCATTCACAAATCTAGGTTTAAGTCTGGCTCAACCATTTATAAGTTTTGACATTGCTAAGTATGGGAATATCACAGAGTTCTTGAAAGGATTAGATTACAAATATTTTCAAAGGGTTGAGTAGATTTTAAAATACAAATATATATATTTAGATATGATTGCCAAATGTCTACTGGATACCCTTCCTATTTATTCCAAGATACTCAAATTTAGTATTTCCAAAATTACATGCATTATCTTCTCCCTCACCCTTGAACACACCACAGTCACTCGTCCTGATATCCTTATTTCTGTTGACAGTACTGTTATTCTCCCAGTCACCTTCACAAAACCTAGGTATCATCTTTGATTTCTTCCTGCCTTCCATCTTTCCATCCACCTTTACTACCTCCAAGCATCCAAGACACTGAAAAACCGTAGATTTTATCTCCACAGTGGCTCTTAAAGTATAGTCCCTTTTTTTCTATTCCTTTTGCCTTCCTCACTTCTCTCCTGGGCTACCATAATCACCTGATGTCTATTTCTTAGTTCCATCATCCTATGCACCACTGTCAGGTTAATTTTCCTAAGACCTTTCAAACGCTTTCAGTGGATTCCCCATTGCCCAATCAATTAAGTCCAAACTTTTAAACATGATAGTCAAGTCCTTCATGCTCTGGACCCAAAATTTCTATCCAATCTTACCTCCTTCCATTAATCTTCATGTAACTCTCCCCCTAATCCAACTGATCACTCCCTGTTTCCTGAACCAGTCTTTTGATTCCTATTCATACAGTCTTGTCATGAATTCTCCTTTACCTAAAAGGCCCTATCTCCCCACTTAAATTGTCATACTCTTTCCAACTACTCAAAGTCCGTTTCTAATACTATCTCTTTCATAAACCTTACCTATTTCCCTGCCCGCAAAATGTAATCTCTCCTTCCTTCAAATTCCTCAAAGCCCTTTATCATATCTCTCTCATACCAAGATGACTATCACCCTACTTGACTAAATTATAAAATCTAGAAGTCAGACTATCCCAAACTCATCTTCGTATCTTGATCCCTGAAGCACCAGAAATACTGTAAGTGGTTGAATAAATATTTATTGACTTGGCAAATGAAGCAGTAGAAAATGAAGTGCTAGTTTTCACAATAAAATGTTTCCAATGTGGTACCCATCTCTCTGAAAAGTCAAGAACTGTTGAAGAAGTGTTGCCCAGCCACAAAAATAACATTGTGGAAACATGCCCTGATAAAAACAGGTTAGTGGTACCTCAGAAATCATATTTTTTAAAACATTTTTATTGTAAAATATAATACATGAGAAAAGTTAATAAAACAAATGTGCATTTTAATAAATAAGTAAAAAGTAAAAATCATGTAATCACAACCCAGGTCAAGAAATAGAATATTATGAGGACCCTAGAATGTCCTACCTGCCGTAGTAGGACCTACCCTGCCATGTCCTCCGTCCAGATCACAACCCTTCCCACACACACAATCCTGACTTTCCTGACTTTTGTGATAACCACTTCCTAACTTTTCTTTTTTTTTTAAATGTTTTTATCCCTTATGTTTGCATTACTAAACAATACAGTGTGGTTTTGCCTGTTTCCAAACTTTATAAAGAGTAGAATCATTCTGTATACAGTCTTGCGCCACATAACGACATTTTGGTTAACGATGGAACGCATATACGATGGTGCTCACATAAGATTAGTACCATATAACTTAGGTGTGTAGCAGGCTATACCATCTAGGTTTGTATAAGTACACTCTATGATGTTCACATAACAACGAAATTGCCTAATGATGCATTTCTCAGAATTTATCCCCGTTGTTAAGCAACACATGAATATATAGTCAAAAAGATTCAAAAGTGCTTTGCATCTTTCATTAGACACAGTCATCCACATTATTGCAACTAGTTGCAATTCATCCACTTTCATTTCTGTATAATATTCCATTTTATGAATGTACAGAGTTTGTCTATTCTACTGTTGATGGACATATGGGTAATCTCTAATTTGGGGCTCTAATGAACAGTGCTGCTATGGATATTCTTTCATGTGTAGCTTGGTGCACAGTGCACATATTTCTCTAAAATGTATGTCTAAGACTTGGTGACATTGCTGAAAATGTTTTAGATTGCTCTGTATAACTTTTTGGTAAGTAATAATTTAAATTTTTCTCAGATGGTCTAACTTCTATTCCCAAGTACTTATTACAAAAAAAGCATAATATAAATATATCATATTAACTGGTATTTATGAATAAATTAGTGTATTTTAAATTATTACTGGAAATGTGTGTGGTTGGTTGATTGGTTGGTCAGATGTTTATTTGTTTTCCAGTTTTGCATTGAGTATACAATATGCAATTTTTAGTTAACTGCATCAGGTGACTACCTACACTCTCTGCCTATTTTTTTGTAGGCCCCCTTCTAACAGAATTGTTTTCATTCCATAATTCCCATTCTTAGCCTTATCATGGTCTCTGTAATGTCATTTTTCCTTTCTCTCACTTTTTTCACTCCAGTCTCCTTTACTCTTTGTCCTGTAGATTCACAAAATTCAGCAGATGCTCTACTTCGTCCATATCTTCTTATGAACTCCACTCTGTTAATTGCTGTTAATACCAGCAACGGCTCCCTGTTGGACTCTTCTGATGTCTTTCCATCCTGTCTTCCCCTTCCCCTGGGCCCTAGGCCCCTAGTGAAAGATCTTGCTCACCTTTGTAGCATCTCTGTCATTTGTTCTTTGTTCTTTCTGTAACACAAAATAAACTAGCCTTTAATATTATCATAATAAACAAACATACATTTTAATTTCCAAAAAATGCTTGATTTTGAAAATGTGTATGTCAGAGGAAATGTTACCATTTAATAATGTTTTCTCCTTTAAATCTAATACATAAGATTTGCCCCGACAGGAAACATTCCATAGTGGTCCCAACTGACAACTTTGGGTAAAAGAAGAACTAAAATAAATTCTGATTCCAGATCCTGCTGGACCTGACAGCCATCGTTATGAAGCTTTTCGATAAAGCTGTAGTGGCTCTTTAAAAAATTACAAAACAAAAAATCCTCCACAGTATAGAAAGGAAGTGCTGCTGCCTCTTTAGATGCTAATTTTAGCTGGTCTTGCATCAGACCTGGCCAGGAGCTACAAATAGTTCCAGCTAAGCAGCAAGAAAAAGCATGGCACCATGGGCAATGTCATAGACTTTGCCCCTCCAGCAACCACTGTGTGAGATCACGTACCCAGGAATTGGAGGCTAGAGGAAGTATGCTGCATTGTCCCGTAAAATAATGTAAAGGTGAATCATCTTTAAAATAAGTGCACTTAGGTAAGCAGATATGTTTTATGGAAGTGGCCGTGTTACATTGATGAAGCTGAACTTTTTTTTAAGAGACTAGAGATTACTAAGGCAGTTAAAGTTATACGAGAACAGTTAAGTCATCAAGCCATTCCACTGCTCTTCAGCCTGAAGAAGGTGTTGAACATTTGAGTTGATTATAGCTAATAACCTGCGATCTCATTTACTAGAATTGTAATACAAGCAGCTACATAATGCGGCGCATTGGGAACTGGATCACTAATCTATTTTTATTCCCCTTTCTCTCTCCTACTTGCAAGCTAAGCTCAGCATTGGCCAGAGAGAAGTAACAGTTCAGAAAGGACCGCTGTTTAGAGCCAAAGGTTACCCTGTCAGCATTGGCTGCAATGTAACTGGCTACCAGGGACCTTTGGAGCAGGATTTCCAGTGGTCTGTTTACCTGCCCACAGCCCCGACCCAAGAAGTCCAGATCGTTAGCACCAAGGATAGCACCTTCTCTTACGCGGTGTATGCACAGCGGGTGCAAAGCAGAGAAATCTACGTGGAGAGGGTCCAGGGCAACTCAGTCTTGTTGCACATCTCAAAGCTTCAGATGAAGGATTCTGGCGAGTATGAGTGTCACACACCAAACACTGATGAAAAATACTATGGAAGTTACAGTGCGAAGACTAATCTAACTGGTAAGCTGTTTGCCCTCCTCTGCTAGTCAGCCCCCGAGAAGCCAGAATCTCCATCATCACAATGCCTTGTCAGTGTGACGTGGCTTTATATTGTGTTGTTGCCTTGGCAAAAGAGCCCACGTACCCCTCTGGATATTTTGGAGATTTGTCACAAATAGCTATCTTATATTGTCTAAAATTCTCAATTCATTTTTCCAATCAACTTTGCCATGAAGATTTTGATAGTGTGGTCTTCCCAAAGCCTTGTCCACAGCTATCCATAGGTTGATAATGGCAACAGCATTAGACAAAGCTTTGAGAGTCCTCCCCATGTTATGTCTCTTCTTAGAGGCAGAACATTAACTAGATAAGAGAGCTGGTATTAATATCATAGGTGGTAAGTCGTTAACTTGGAAATGATTATACTCACACTGCTATTCTCAAACATATTTACCTGTGGGGAGAGGGTCATAGTCCTTGCAATTACTATTTTGCCCCTTTGCCTAGAATATCTTATCACCCCTTTTTCAGCTTAGCAAACTCCTACATTTATTTCGGGACCCAGTTTAGATATTACCTCTGCTGTGAAACCTGTCCTGACTGTCTCAGGCAGTATTCCCATCTTTGTTTCCTATTGGTGCTCTCTTCATACCACTATTATTAGCACTCACCCAGTTTATGAGATAATTGGCTGCTTATATGATTCTCTCCTACCTCACCCTGAGCTCCATGAGAAGAGAACATTTATCTCCGCCCCTAACACAGTGGCTAGCACTGAGTAGATGCTCAATAAATATTCATTGATTGAATCTAAGCATTGTTTTCATGCTCAGGTGGTGTGATTTCCTCTCAGGAAGAAGAAAATGGTAGGGTGGTAGGATGGTTATCAAAACCTTGGCAAGGCTTGCATTTTGGCTCTGAATGATATATTATAACAGATTATTTCAGAACTTTATTTTATAAAGGAGCAGGTTAAGGCCTAAGGAAGTGGAGTGACTTGTTCCAGTTCACGTAGTTAGATAGGGACAGATTTAGGATCAGAATCTAGGTCTTCCAGCTCCTGTTGCTTTTCCCCTTTAAATACTCTGTGTCTGAGTAGCTAAATTGGTTACAGCCTATCCTAAAAAAGTAAAGTCAGTGTCCATACATCAGGGAGCCATTAGCTTTGCTGAGTTCCATAGACTGTATGTACACAGACGCCAGTGTTCCCATTGGCAATATGGAAAGCATATGGCTGAGAAAGCATATGGCTAATGGAAAAGCAACTCAAAGTATGTGCTTTACAGATGATGGGTCAGGGCACATTCTTCATCTAAGGAGGCTAGTCTGATAGGTACTGGGCAAGTCAATTATCATCGTTCCTTTGCTTGCAGTTATTCCGGATACCCTGTCTGCTTCCATGAGTTCCCAGACTCTCAGTAAGGAGGAAGGGGAGCCATTAGAACTCACCTGTGAGGCATCCAAAGCCACAGCTCAACATACCCACCTCTCTGTCACCTGGTACCTGATGCAGGATGGAGAGAGGAGCCAAGCCACCAAGATTATTTCCCTCTCCAAAGATTTTATGTTGATCCCTGGGCCCTCGTATACAGAGAGGTTTGCAGCCGGTGATGTGCAGCTTGCCAAGCTGGGGGTCACTACCTTCAGGCTGTCCATAAGGAGGCTGCAGCCCTCAGATCAAGGGCAACTGTTCTGTGAGGCAACTGAATGGATTCAGGATCCAGATGAAACCTGGACTCTCATCACGAAAAAGCAAACAGATCACACAACTCTGAGGATCCAGCCAGCAGGTAATTATCTTCTCAGGAAATTCATTAGTATGCAGGTAATGGGTATTTATGGGATATCTTTTTGTTTTTTTCTAATCTTTTTTTGGATCTAAAAAAAAGTGGTTTAGAGAATTTGAGTCAATGTTGTTTTTGTCATCTGGGAAGGATAAATAAGAAGAAGGACATCCATTTCGGGCTCTGTCCACAGGAGGTTTTACATGGGTAAGACTGGTTAGATAGATTCCACAAGCCACACAGGCAGATAGTTTTGTTACCATTCCTGCCAGGCTCTGTGTAAGCACTTTATCTACATTATCTAATTTAGTCCTAACAACCACCCTATGAGGCAAGTGGTCGACTCCCCATTTTAAAAACAGGGAACCTGAGCCTCAGACATGCTAAATGTTCTGCCTAAGCTCACCCGGTTGGTGAGAGAAGACAGGTGAGTCTCTCAAAAGTGCACTTAGCACAGACACCTGGGCCTCACGGTAGCTCCAGTTTCCAGCATGAGGTCTTGTCTCAGTGCTGGAATTTCCTTCCACCTGACCCCTTTTCCAATTTGGAATGGTGTCACTCTTCACTATCTATTGGCATTTTCATCAAAGCGAGCAGAGCCTCAGCTGTGATTCCTGCGTTTCTCTACAGAGGCTTTGGTCCAATAGGAGCAGGTCGATAAATCATATATATCCATTGCTAAAAGCACTGATCAGATGGCCGATCACTGAAGTTTTCTTCCTTTTTTTAGGAAGATTGTTATTCAGTTCCATTAAAAATTGTCCTGTTGGCCTCAAGTGTCCAAGTTACACCCAGTGAGTCCTATTGGGGCACATCACATGTGCTTTCCTTTCTCTCTCTTTGAAGACAATTTTTTAAAAATGTAAAACAGCCTTTATTTATTCTTATTTATTCATTTAGACAAATAAACATTGTATATATTTAAGGTATACAAAATGATGTTTTGATATACATATGTATGCATTGTGAAATGATTATCACAAGCAAGCTAATTAACATATCCATCACCTCACATAGTTACCGTGTGTGTGCGCGCGCGCACATGTGGTGAGGACACTTAAGATCTACTCTTTTAGCAAATTTCAAGTGTACAACACAGTATTATTAACTGTAGTCACCGTGCTGTGTGTTAGATCTGCAGAACTTATTCATCCTGCATAACTGAAACTTTGTACCCTTTGACCAATACCTCCCCATTTTCCCCAGCCCCTGGCAACCAGCATTCTACTCTCTACTTCTATGAGTTCAACATTTTTAGATTCCACATATAAGTGAGATCCTGCGGTGTTTGCTTTCTGTGTCTGGCTTATTTCACTTAGCATAATGTCCTCCAGGTTCACCCATGTTGTCAAAAATGGCAGGATTTCTTTTTTTATGGCTGAAGAATATTCCATTGTGTGTAATATACCACATTTTCTTCATCCGTTCATTGATTGACAGACTCTTAGATTGTTTCTATATCTTGACTATTATGACTAATGAACATAGGAGTGCAGATATCTCTTTGAGATACTGATTTCATTTCCTTTGGATGTATACCCAGAAGTAGGATTGCTGGATTATATGGTAATTCTATTTTTAATTTTTGAGGCACCTCTATACTGTTTTCTATAATGGCTATACCAATTTATATTCTCACAAACTGTGTACAAGGGTTCTCTTTTCTCCACATCCTCACCAGCACTTATTATCTTCTGTCTTTTTGATAATAGCCATTCTAACAGATGTGGGGAGATGTCTCATTGTGGTTTTGATTTGCATTTCCCTGATGATTAGTGATGTTGAGCATCTTTTCATGTACTTCTTGGCCGTTTGTATATCTTCTTTTGAGAAATGTCTATTTAGATCCTTTGCCCATTTTTTAATCAAGCTATTGAGTTGTATGAGTTTCTTATATATTTTGTATATTAACTCTTTATTAGATATATGGTTTGCAAGTATTTTCTGCCATTTCATAGATTGTCTCTTCATTCTGTTGATTGTTTCTTTTCCTGTGCAGAAGCTTTTTAATTTGATGCAATTACTTGTCTATTTTTGCTTTTGCTTTTGGGGTCATATCCAGAAAATCATTGCTCTAACCAATGTCAAGAAGATTTCCCTCTATTTTCTTCTAGTAGTTTTACAGTTTCAGGTCTTATGCTTAAATTTTTAATCCATTTTGAGTTGATTTTTTTATATGGTGTTAGATAAGGGTCCAACTTCATTCTTCTGCATATGGACATCCAGTTTTCCCAACACCATTTATTGAAGAGACTACCTTTTCCCCGTTGTGTTCTTGGCATCTTTATTGAAGATCAGTTGACGGAGATGCTTGAATTTATTTCTGGGCTCTCTATTCTGTTCCATTGATCTATATGTCTGTTCTTATGCCAGTACCACACTGTTTTGGTTACTGTAGCTTTGTTATATTCTTGAAATCAGGAAATGTGATACCTCCAGCTCTGTTCTTGCTCAAAATCACTTTGGCTATTCAGCATCTTTTGTGGTTCCATATGAATTTTAGGATTGATTTTTTTCTATTTCTGTAAAAAATGCCATTAGAATTTAGAGATTGCATTGAAACTGTAGATTGCTTTGGGTAGTATGGACATTTTAACAATATTAATTCTTCCAACCCATGAACACAGATATTTTTCCATTTATTTGTGTCTTCCTCAGTTTCTTTCATCAGTGTCTTATAGTTTTCAGTGTACAGATCATTCACTTCCTTGGTTAAATTTATTCCTAAATATTTTCCTCTTTTTGATGCTATTGTAAATGGGATTGTTTTCTTAATTTGTTTTTCTGATAGCTCATTGTTAGCATATAGAAATGCAACTAATCTTTTTTTGTGTGCATTGATTTTGTATCGTGTAACTTTACTGAAATCATTTATTAGTTCTAATAATTTTTTGGTGGAGTCTTTTGGGATTTCTTTATATAAGATCATGTTATCTGTAAACAGAGACAATTTTACTTCTTTTTTTTTCTGATTTGGATGCCTCTTGTTTCTTTTTCTGACTAATTGCTCTGGCTAGGACTTCGAGTACTATGTTAAATAGGAGTGGTGAGAGTGGGCATCCTTGTCTTGCTCCTGATCTCAGAGGAAAAGCTTTCAGCTTTTCACTGTTAAGTGTGATGTTAGCTGTGGACTTGTTATATATCACACGTGCTTTTAACTTAGGAAAATTCCACTGGATATTCTGAGCTGAAAAAGAGAAAGAAATCACAATTTACAGCAATTCAACATAGTATAAAATGTTTTGCATTTTTATTAAAAAACAATGCATTACTGTAGACTTTCTACATCTATGCAGACATCTTGCTTAATAGGCTTGGATTCAGAAGACCACGTATGCTGTTCTTTCTGGGTGATTTATGAGGTAGTCAAGGACATTTTTGATTCTAGGCATTTCTCTGGCCTACCTGCTCCTCAGAACTGAACTCCTACATGAAGTTCAATCCCTGTACTGTCCTTACACGGGGTGTCATCTCTTTCTGGTACTGAAAGGACAAGTGCAGTGGCCTCTCTAAGTACCTGACTTGCTTTTGTTTCCCAGTGAGAGATTTTCAAGTCAACATTACGACTGAGAGCACGTTTATTGAAGGGAAACCCTTAGAACTGGTGTGCCTGGTGGTGGGCAGCAGCCGGGACCCACAGCTTCAGGTCATTTGGTTCTTCAATGACACTGAAATAGCCCGCATTGATGCTGGTGGAGTGCTGGGCCTGAAGAAAGACTACAAAGAGAGAACAAGTCAAGGACAGCTCCAGGTTTCCAAGTTAAGCCCCAGGGCTTTCTCTCTCAAGATCTTCACTGCCGGCCCGGAGGATGAAGGCAGCTACAGATGTGCAGTGGCAGAGGTGGCAGGAGCTCAGGTGGGCTCCTGGCAAGTGCTTCAGACAAAGCAGTCACCAGAGAGCCATGTGCACCTGAGGAAGCCAGCAGGTATGTGAGGTTGGGACCAGAAATGACTGGGCTGCTTTCAGATCCCCTCCTTTGTTACTGCAGGGTGCCTTTATGGACACAGTGGAGGGCTCCTAAGAGTCGGGGGCCAATCAGATCACTTTGAGATGAAGCAGAGTAAGGGAAAGCACCCAAACCAGCTGAAGACTTAAATCCTGTTCCTGAGCTGTTAAATGGACCCTGACCACAGACACACAAATTTTCTTCTCTAAATCTCAGCTTCCTAAACTATAAAATAATGGCATACAGTTAGACTGTCCTTAAGTCTTTCTTGCTGTCTTACATTTTTGATTCTATTTGCTGTTAGTCCTAATATTTGTACATGGGGTTTTTCTTCAAGCTGAGAACACCTCTATTAACGGAGCTGTCTGTCTTCTTTTGTTCTGTGTCACATAAATAGGTTAAGAGGAAAGAGCTACACTTTGCCTCCTTCCTGGAGAATGAACACCCGCATTATGCCCCCCACACCCCCAACATCTTTCAGGTGTCTTTTGTCAATCCTCTGTTATCTTAACCTGATATGGGGAGTGATACTAAGTCTTAATTCTTCACCAAGCCTGACTCAGAGTAAGAAACGAAGAGGTAAATGATAGTGGGAAGACTCGAATCTGTGCATTTGCTGTGACGTGATGAGACACCTGTCCAAATGAGTCTGAGTATCTGTAGGTGAAACTGAAAGGCACTCAGCTCTCGTTTAGTTTGTGAAGGTTGAGTGACCTTAAACGTGTTTGAATAATCAGTGCTTTTTGTGTGGAGAGAAAACAGACAAATCCACAACTAATATTAGAATTCTCTGGGCTGGATTTTAAATTCAAAGTCTAGAAAGATTAATTGCCCAAAAGCAAAAACAAAAATCGAAAAGAAAAACAAAAACAAACTAAAAATAAAGATATCTTTGTTACGCTTGCCCATTGGAGGCATCTTCACAGATAGATGTTTCCCTTTCATGCTGTTCTTCGTCACCCTATTTGCTAGGAATGAAGGCGCACAAGCTTTGGCCTCGAGTGGCAGCCAGGAAGTGTGTTGGTGTTAGTTTTCATACTAAACATTTGGTCTGACTTTCTAGGATTCAGGAAAAACCATGTAGGCGGGTTTACATATTTACACAGAGCTGAATCTCTGCTTTGTGCATCTCCTTCTCCCCTGGAACATATCTGTGACCTTTCTTAAACTTAGTACGAGGGAATTTGTGCCAAAGGAATCTAAAGGTGCGCTTCATGGTGCACACATCATAAGTCTATCAGTAGAGTGGCCTTCCAAAGCTAAAAATAGTTCTTTATGTAGGCTGAAGTCCAAACTAGGCCTAATATGTAGAAACAGAAAAATTTATTAGTGAATTTATTAAGAATCCTGTTGAGCATTCAGTTTTGAAAGTCAAACCGTTACTTGAAGTATGAGCAGAGTTTTACCATTCTATGAATATTTTAAATAGAAGGGGGTACTCACTATCACTGTGAATGTGTAACTTACATACACTTGGTAAGTTTATTACTTCTTACCAAGAAGCAGTAATGACCACAATGAACTAAGGAAACCTCGTTTTTTTTAAAAAATTGATGTTAGTTGAAACTATTCATAATGGTTATAGTGGTTAGAGTAGTGGGATTATGAGTAATAATTTCCCTCTAATTTCTAAACTTCAGTTATGAGTCTATTTTCAACTTAAAAAAATTTAAGTATAATCATGCCTCTAATACCCAAAATTTGGAAGCAGGTTTGCATATATATATATTTTTTTAACCTGTTTGTGGACATTAAACTTCATTCTGCCTTTGTAACTTATATATATATATACCTAAAACAGCAGAGGACTGAATTCCTTCCTCAGCAGAGAAGAACAATTTGCAAGTTCATTTAGATCCTATTTAGATTTCTAATGCCTATTCTATTTTGTTTTTCTCTTTTGGCTTTGAACTACCTCTGCTTTCACTAAATGCCTGTCATTACATACTAATGCTAACAGCTAACCTTCACTGGGTACTTTCCCTTACCAGCCAGGCTAAGCCCTTTGCATGTGCCATTCATTTAGTCCTCTCAACAATGCAATAAGGTGAGTGCTGTAATTACTCTCATATTTACAGGACAGAAAATTGGCTCAGAGAGGTCAACTATGTTGCCCAAGATAATTCTGACTCCAGGGACCTTGGCCTTAAGCATGAGACTGGGCTGCCTGGGATGTATGAGCTCCTGAGGTATCTTTGCATCACCCGCAAAGCACTCGGGACAAGGCCTTGCACAGGAAGCGTCTGTTGAATGAATGTCTGCATTTCTACACGTCTTGAATTTCCCAGCTGGGAGCCAGATTTACATTTATAGTTTTACATTGTGGTTCAGATATAAGAAGAGTCTGCTTTCAACCAACAACATATATATATATGAATGAATATATGATTTTGGAAAGAGAAATATATATATATATATATATATATATGTGTATATGTGTTTTCCCCCAAGTAATTGTTTTTAATGGTAGTATTTTGAACAGAAATCTAATTGCTAATACTCCTTCCCTGTTCAGAACACACACTAATTAGGGAAAGATAAGTAGGGAGAGGAAGGTCATTTTGAACTGTGAAAGTCTGAATTCCAAAAAACTAAAAATTTAAATAAACAGAGCTTCATTACTTTCAGGCTCATCCATCCACCCTAATTAATCTAACAAAATATTACCAGATATTTTTCCAACTAGATGTTTTTAAGGAAGGGCTAATTTAACAAATCACTAAAAGTAAGGGCAAATTATAAATTAAGTGTAAATATGTTCTCCTATTAGTCTTCTGGTAGTCTTTCTACTGTCTTGCTTCCACTATTTAAGTGTTTAGTAAATCTTTCTTCTGTGGGTGGTGCAGGAGTAAAAAGCCTGATCTGATTTGTCACAAACTAGTCAAGCCCTAATTAATGAGATTTCATTGTGTTTTAGAAAAAGTTTCACTTACTTGAAATACTTTTTTCTTCTAAAATCTGTAATCCACAGCAAGAAGTGTGGTTGTGTTTACCAAGAACCAGCAGCAAGTAGTGTGGGAAGGAGAGGCGTTAACCCTTCTCTGCAAGGCAGATGGAGCTGCGGGTCTCCTGTCCGTGAAGTGGTGGCACATCCCGCAGGAACAGACTCAGCCGGAGTTTGTGGCTAGCATGGAGCAGGATGGCACCGTGCAGCTGGGTGCCTCCCACAGGGAGCTCAATAACCACAGCAACACAAGGCTGGAGAAAATGAACTGGGCCACCTTCCAACTAGAGATCACCTCCACCACTGTCACAGACAGCGGCACGTATGAGTGCAGGGTGTCTGAGAGGACCTGGAACCAGGCCAGAGATCTGAGCTGGACTCAGAAGATGTTGGTCACTGTCAAATCTCTGCGTAAGTGTCAAAGAAATCCTCTGATCTTGCATATCTTCAGTACCTTCCTTTTGCAGTGGAATGCAGTGGAGTTTTATTGTTTGTCGTCTTGAATCCCCTAGTTATGGTATGTGTACCCTAGGACACGGAGCATAGTCTCTGGTTACCATGTCTGTCAGCTCATCTCTAAACTTGACTCATCTTTATCAAGATCGTATTTAGGATACAACCTGTAAGTTGTCATTCAAGGCTAAAAACAAAATCCTATGAATTGGGGTAGACTTACAGAAGAGATACGCAGAGAGGAGCTGAGCCTCACACATTCAGGTTTTTGACAGCTGCAGCCCTGGGATTGCAGACTTTCTTCTAGCACATGCAAAAGAGTGATGTGAACCCATGAGTGGGGGTAAGGGAAGGAGGCCAGCCACTGGGGCTGGGGAGCGTTCCACCCACTCAGTAGCAGCTGTCTAAGCAGCAGACTGGAGAAACAATGCCTGCTTGTTGTTGCTGCTGAGAATACTCTTAGAAGAGAGTCAACTTTGGAAAATTGAGGTCAGAATTCAAGACAGACTGTACTGTGAATCAACTTTTACCCCAAAACATTTGATACTCCCAATGTACGAATGCATGGTTCAATGGGAAGAAGTAGTGACTAGGAAAATGTGGAAGTACTATACTTTGATTTGATAAACATCTTAGAAATATGTGTTTTGCATTTCTGCCCACAGAGTCAAGTTTACAAGTTAATCTGATGAGCCGTCAACCACAAGTGAAATTAACCAATACATTTGACCTGTCCTGCATAGTGAGGGCTGGCTACTCTGACCTCAAGGTACCACTCACTGTGATATGGCAGTTCCAGCCAGCTAGATCTCAAGTCTTTCATCAGCTTATTCTAATCACCCATAATGGCACTATTGAATGGGGGGATTTCCTATCCCAGTTCCAAAGGAAGACGAAAGTCTCGCATTCTTCATTTCGTTCTCAACTCCTAATCTATGATGCCACCGAGGAAGAAGCAGGAGTTTATCAGTGTAAAGTAGAAGTTTATGGCATAAATTCCCTACACACAAACAGCCCCGCCAGGGCTTCTGCCATCTCTTCCCCATTGAGGATAGTTGTCACTTTACCAGGTAAACACTACTTGAAATTAATCCCTGCTTTTTTTTAAAAAAAAAATTTTCCCAATTTTGGGTAGGTTATAGAATTAAAGCATAAAATACCTTCTCCTCATGTTTGTACTGTATGAGTAAGCACCATATATATCCATAAGTGATACATAAGTGATGTCCGGGCTGATGTTAAGTTAGTATACATGGGATGGCCATACTGGTTGTTAAAATATTGAAATACTTCCACACTGATTAATAATAACTGTTGCTCCATGATCCTTCCCCATCTTCCCCTAAGTCTTCACCACCCAGCAACTAAAGGGTACCATGTGGCATAGCAGGGGGCCTCTAGGACCAACTCCAGTGGTGAGGCGTTCTTTTGGATTGGTCGCTGCCCATACCTTACCAGTCATTAAATGTTTGGAATGTCTATCTATACTCTAGTGGTATGGATAATTTAAATTCCATTAGCATACATTTATCCACTTATTTTAATATATAAGTGTTAGAGAATTTATTATTCTAGTCAAATATAGTTTACCTTGTCAATTGGTAACTGAGCATAGGGGTTAAAAGTGGGCAAAGTTCTGCTGTGTCCTGTATCTTCTTTCATGATATCCATTCTCTCAGGGCAGAGTGTTCAAAAGCCTTTGAAGTCATTTAGATCTGACAAGCGCTAGATAGCAGTGTAGCTTTGGACAAGTCACTTAATTTGTCTAAGCCTAGTTACCTCATCAATAAATTGTGATGTGTAATTTAAAAGTGGTGACATATATAATGTGCCTAGTACAGTACCTGACACACCAAGGAGTTGCTCCACACATGGAAGCTGTCATTATTCTCTCTTCTCTGGAACAATATTTTTGGCCATAGTAATGATCTGCTCATTGATTAACTCATGCCTTAATTTACTTATCATTTCTGTGGTATTTGAGATTGTTGGCCCAGTCCTTTCTTCTTGAAATTTCTTTTTTCTTTGGCCTCGTTACACAAGATTTTCTTGGTTTGCTTCCTAACACTCTGACTGCTCCTTCTCATTCTCTTTTGCAGAATTCTTCTCCTCCACTGGTTCATTCCTTTGCGTTTCATCCTCAGTTTGCTCTCTTCTCTTTCTACACAGTCTCCTGAGGTAGGTTTATTCCTACCCACAGATTCAACTTATATGCTGACAACTCCCAAATCCATTATCCTGAAAGACTTTTCTGATCTCCAGACTCATCTATGCAACTGCCTCTAAGACATGTCTACACTCAGTGTCAAAACATAAATGCACCATTATTATCCCTCTCAAGCTGCTCCTCCTACCTTGTTCTCTATGTCCCTACTATCCACCAGTGACCCAAGTGGGAAAACTGAGTCATCTACAACTCCCCCATGTCCACCTCATGCCCATACTCCCATGGCATGGCATGCAAAGTCCGTTATAATCTGGTACATTTATGTCTTTCTGGTATCATCTCCTTTCACTTTCCTTCTTGAATTTGAGCTCCAGCCACGCTGAACTACTTGCACTTCCTCAAATTCTCTATGTTCTCCCTCATTTTCAAAGTCTTTGTTCAAGCTGCTTTTGTGTGGAATTCCTTAACCCCTTCTCCATTAGACTAATTCCTACTAACCTTTAAGGCTTAGATTAGAGATATCTCCCCCAGGAAGCCTCCTCTCACCCCCATACTTGGGTGAGGTACCCCTGCTGTGTGCTCTGATAGCCACTTCTGCATACCTCTGTCTCACTTGGGTGACACAATCCTGTAATATCTAAGACTCTGTCCTTGTACTAGTCTCTCCCTCTAGACTGTGAACCCGTTGAAATGAAGTACCCACAGAGCCTGGAATAGTCTGTCACATAACATAGTATGTGCTTAATAAATGTTTGTTGAAGGAAGAGTAAAGGGACCTACTGGCAACATCAATAAGCAGTTACAAAATTAGAATTGGTGATGTCAGCGAGAAGTTAGAATAAGATTTGGAAACCAGGTTTTATCATTCATCTTTGTGACAAAGCAGAAAAGCTGCTGGGTTTAAGGGGTAGTTGACTCTTTATCTATACAATATTCCCACAGTAGAGTGGCTGCAAAGAGACATTCAATTTCAATAGCCCACATACAATTCCTTTTGTTTACCCATGTTTGAAGGCAGATACACACTTTGGCAAATTGTGAATCCAGGAGTACTCAGGATAGTGAACACACAGGCAAAGCATTAATAGGGCTACTTTCTCTCGATTTAATTTATGAAATGCTATAGATGTGAAGGTGTCATGCTTAAATACTGGAGCATTATCATGTGGAAGAGATTGGGCTTTTCTGTACGATACTTCCTCCCTGCCCCACCCTCCCTATCCCACTCCCCTGGGGAAGGGTAGAACAAGGACCTGTGGGTGGAAGTTATGGAGAGGTAAAATTCAACTTGATATCAGAAAGAATTCTCTAGTGGCAGAGCTGTTCGAAGATGGAATGGGCTGCTTTGTCAGGTAGTGAGTTGTTTGGAGGCTGAATGAACAGTCAGTGGGGCTGCTGAAGAGGGAATTCACATATCTGGTGGAAGTAGGAGGTATTGCCCTAGTTGACCTAATATCCCTTCTACCTTAAAATTCTATTTTTCTGGAAAGTAACAAAAGTATTTCCATTCTTTTAATTTAGAGAGCAAGCTAAAAGTGAATTCAAGCAGTCAAGTCCAAGAGATCTCCATCAACTCCAACACTGACATAGAATGTAGCGTCTTGTCCCTGCCCCCTGGAAACCTTCGGTTAGCTGTGATTTGGTACTTCTCTCCCATTACCACTAATGTGTCCTGGCTGAGGATCCTGGAAATGGACCAGACCAATGTTGTAAAATATGGGGATGAGTTTCAAACCCCACGGAAAAAACAAAAATTCCACGCTGAGAAAGTTTCCCAAGACTTGTTTCAGCTACACATTCTGAATGTGGAAGACAGCGATCAGGGCAGATATCACTGTGCTGTGGAGGAATGGCTCTTGTCTACAAATGGTGCTTGGAACAAGCTTGGGGAAAAGAAGTCAGGTCTAACAGAATTGAAACTCAGGCTCACAGGCAAGTCTTATGAATGTGTTCTCACGTCTTTCTATAGGATGGCCATCTTCTCTTGGGCAGCTGTTCTATGGAGTGATTATGTGAAGGTAAAAATATGACCTAGAGTCACAGAAATAGTGTCCACCCTCACAATAACTTCAGGATCTGGCAGCCCACCAGAGGTGGCAAGAGTCACTTAAGGTGAATCAGTCTGAGGTTTCGAGAAGCTTGGATGGGAACAAGATCCCTTTGATTGGTTTACTTATCAGCCTGGCAGCCTGGTCTATGCAGCTACCCAGGGTATCGTATCTCCAGATCTCTATAATAACAAGCTGTGTCATTCCAGTGGGGCTCTACTGTAATTTGGCAAAGAAAGAGTAATACGAAGCATATTTCTACCACTGTGAACAGAAACTGTACAACTCTATAGGGATGTGTGGAGAAATTGCTTTTCAACATTTGGCTGCCTAAACATAAGGCAAATAAGAGTAGTTAACTGTTGGAATGGCTTACTGAGGGAATCTCCTCTTCCTCAGGAGATCTGTAAAAATGGAATAGAAGTTCCATCCATCTGCATTGGTCTAAGAGTGCTGTGGTCTAAATGTGGGCCGGGTTGATTAGATCTCTCAGCGTTAGTTAGGTCACCTCCAATGTTGATTAAAATTAAATGAATATCACAGCTAAGGTTCAGGAACTGGCCAAGATCCAACAGCAGAATGCAAATAAATTAATCTTGTTTGGCGCTTAAAATTCTATTTTCAATGTAACGTCAAAAAAATAAGATTATAATGAGCATTGCTCTGTGTTAGGCAGTTAAGAATACAAAGGTAAATAAAACACAGCTCTTGCCTTAAGGAGCTCACAGTGTGTTGAAGCAGCAGGGGCAAAATAGTAGCTGAGCATGAGGATCTCTTCCTGCCGCTCTGGCTCCCCTTCTCTGTGTCCTTCAGGCCTATCTTCCTTGCTAAATGTGGGTGTTCTTCAGGGATAGATCCTGGGCCTGTTTTTCTTCTTCTCTGCTCTCTTCAGAACTTCCTAGACACTGCCTAGGTTTCAACTACCACCTTCAATGAAATAGGTCTAAGTCTTTATGCTTAGTCCCCATCTCCTGAGCTCCAGGCCTTTCTACCCAACTGCCTGTTGTACATTTCCACTTGGACGCCCCAGAGTCCCTCACACTCTGCATGTCCCAAATCGTGTTTATTATCTCTGTTATCCCACAAGACTCATGCATACTTCTGCATTCTCCGTTTGTGTGGCTGGCATCCCTTTCTCCCAGTTGTCCAAGCCAAATCTTGAAGTGTGTGCACACCCATTTAAGGAGGCAGCTGCTTCCTAGCTCCAGCCAGCGCTTTCTGTTTAGAAATGTGGGCTCAGCGTTGTCCGATGTTTTAGTATATCAAGAAATGTCTAAAATCTTTTTTGGTGACATCACTCAGTTTGAGAATGTTCACAACTAATTCAAATTCTTTTAAAATACTGAGAATGTCAAGCAAAACGTATCGGGATGTGGCTGGCTGAGGGTGGCCAGCTGAGCACCTGGTGTAGGGAGTGAGTTAAGGAAGAGGCCCCAGGGAAAGATACTGAGAAGGACATTTTCCCTGAAGTCAAAAGAGGAGAGAATTTCAAGAAGAAAATGGACTTCAGTGACAAAAAACACAGAGACAACAAAAAAGACTGGAGGATCCCTTGAGCTGGGAAATTGGGCCCTTACTATGGACCTTGGCCAGAGTAGAGTGATGAGAGATTGGAAGGCTGATTGCAATGAAGTAGGGAGTAATTTGAGGTGAGGAAGCAGAGACAGTGTCATATAAACTAATATTTCACATGCTTCACCATAAAGGGAAGGAGAGAGTAAAGATGATAACTAAAAAAGAATCCAAGATCGGACAAAGTCATTCTTTTAAAGATAGATTAATAAATGTGTTTGTAGTAGAGTTGAAAATTTAGCGCATACTATAATTTCTTTATTTTATTTGTGACTACTCTGGCCTTTGTTCCAAGTCCTCACCTGCTGATTAGCAGGGAAAAATTTTAAAAAGTAAATGTCAAAATCTATTTAAAACTTAGTCTAATGTAATAATTTAATAGTCTCCTTGAGTGGTATTCTAAAACTTGTGTAAAAATGCTGTGTCTCTTGGATAGCCTCCTCTTTCCCTGCGTATATACCTGAGATGATATTTGGTGTATGGGAGGAGGGTAATTTGCTAAGAATGAAGGGTAGTGGTGAAATATATGACTTGAGGGGAGGGCTGCAAGTTTTGAATGGTCCGTCTGGGGAGTAGAAGGGAGAGTTGACCATGGAGAAGTAAAAGCAGTAGGGCAGAGCACCCCCCAAAGCTGGATGGTTTTCAGTGGCAGGGTCAGCAGGCCAGAGGTAGGACTAAAGAAGGGAAGTGGCTGGTTTGATTCATAGCAGAGAATGTTCTGGCAAATATGGAAGAAGGACAGAGGTCAAGGAAAATGTTAAAGATGAAGGACTTGATGTCTAAAGATTATAAGATGGATCTCCTCAATGAGAACTAGATTTTTCAGAGGAGGTGTCCAATCTAAAAGTTTGAATTTTTCCCTAATTTACTACCATTTTATTTCCTAGGAAGTAAGGTACGTGTCTCCAAAATGCACCGTTCAGAAAATGCTACCGAGCACACGGAGGTGGCCATCCACTGTAGCTTGGAGAGTTCCGGCAGCTCAGCCTCCCTGTTCTCTGTAACGTGGTATTGGAACAGAGAAAATTCTGGAAGTAAGATGTTGGTGAATCTGCAGCATGACGGCTTGCTGGAGTATGGTGAAGAGGGGCTCAGGAGGCACCTGCACTCTTACCGTTCATCCCCTACAGACTTTGTCCTGAAGCTTCATCGGGTGGAGATGGAGGATGCTGGAATGTATTGGTGCAGAGTGGCAGAGTGGCAGCTACATGGCAACCCAAGCAAGTGGGTCAACCAAGCGTCAGATGAGTCACAGCGGATGGTACTCACGGTGCTGCCTTCAGGTAACTATGGGTTAATCTGCCATGACTCATGGTCCTTTCTTATGCTTTTCCTCCCAGCTATGTTTTGCTCCGTCTTCAGGCTGAAAACAATTTTACAGACTCCTTAAAGAAAATGACTTTGCCATTTCTCTCAATAGTAACTCATTTGGACAGACAAGGTCTACATGAGGTTTTGGCATAGACATTTAAGTGTCAGGGGCATCTGACCTGCTCCACGCTTTCTCCTCCCGAACAAAAAAAGCCATCAACATTGTATCCCTTTAAATAACCAATGTTCGAAGCAGACATCCTTACCTCTTGGCCAACTCTCTAATCTCAGAATGCTGATCTGCAGTGGGAGTGGGAATGAGGGATAGGGACATGGTGACTTTTTGTTTGAACCAAAACCAGTGAACCAAAGTCAGCTACCTCTAAATGCTCCCTGAGTCAAAAACAGAACAAACAAAAAAAACCTTTCTTAATGAATAAGTGCCAAGCTTCGTATCTCTCTATGTGCTCGACAAACTACCAGGACTTTGACAATGAAAATCATTTGGTGTGCCTAATTTCACCTCGAAAGACACCAAAGGAGGAAGTGTGCCCTACAGAACTTGTTTACAGGCTCCACCAAGGAGGGCAGCTACTTGAAGACCATTGGCCAAAGGGTGATCCTTCTCTATGCAGGAAGGTCGCCATATTCAGCTGAGTGCACAGCTTTGGGAGGGATGTGGAACCAGAGGTTGTGAGGGAGAAGAGGGAATCCTTCCAGCCAGTACAGTGCCAAGCATATAATGGGCATTCATGAAGCATTTGTTAATGAAAGCAAAAATTTCTCCAGCCAGCCCAGTAAATCTTCCCTGGTGATCAATGAGCTGGCAGATTTTATAGCTAGCTCATTCTCTGAGCCACTTGTTTCTGGCGGGGTTTAAGGAGAAGGTGAGAGATGACTATAGTTAAACTTACAGTGGTAAGAGTTATTGGAGAGGCAGAGGTGTGATCTTGGTGCCCCACACCAGGATGAGTAAAAAGGATCATTAAAGGTAACATTCCTGGGGTTGGCCCTGTGGGCTAGTGATTAAGTTTGGAGCACACTCTTCTTCAGCAGCCTGGGTTCGCCGGTTTAGTTCCTGGACACAGACCTACACCACTTGTCAGACATGCTGTGGCAGTGACCCACATACAAAATAGAAGAAGACTGGCATAGATGTTAGTTCAGGGCTAATCTTCCTCGTGCAAAAAAAGAGGAAGATTAGCAACAGATGTTAGCTCAGGGTGAATCTTCCTCACCAAAAAAAAAAAAAAATTCCTAAACCACCAGCCAGCTTTGTTGACACTCCTTAGGGGGAAAAGAGTGCTACCGAGAATGTGTGGCAACTTCTCAGAAGTAGGGATAGTTTCATCTCAACTCCAGCAAGGCTTCTAGAGTGAAAGTCAGAGTTATCTAATTTGTTCCCTGGTGGTCCATCACCCTCTTCCTCTGTCCATTCTTCAACAGATTTTTTCTCCCAAGTGTCCAGGCAGAATTTTTCTTCCTATCAGTTTTTCTTCCATTCCAACAATTACAGGAAGTCCCACACCCCTGAGCACATTCCATATATATTTTCCCACTGGAATTCCTAGGCTCTGTGGACTCAGCAGTTTCTGCAGTAGAATAAATAGATAATAACTGTAAAAAGTGTATATTCTGTGACTAAAAAGCGCATCTCCTCTGAGACGGATGGGATCCTTTACAGCATACATATACTGTTAATCTTTGTGGAATCCTTGTAAAACAAATGTAAGGTTTTAAAAAGATGAACTCTGGAAAGAAAAGATTAAAAATTGAGTGGTCTGTATTCTTCACAATTGAAGAAGCTCAAAAGCCTGTGACATGACACCCTGAGAGTTTTCATTATAAGTACAGTTAAGGGTTCCCAAGTAAATCCTTGTCATGTAGCATCTGGCTTCCTCTACCTGGCTGTTCCTTTCTGGTAGTTGGGGAGGTAGCATGGGGTGATGAAAAATCCCAGGGTTTGGAACCAGATAGACCTAGGCTCAAATTGCGGGTCTACCACCTACCTACTAGCTATGAAATCATACTCTGGTTACTCAGCTGCTGTGAGCCTCAGCTTTCTCATAAAATGAGGACCGTAATACAAATGTGTCTAAAGTATCTAGCAGAGTCCCTGGCATATTGTAAGTGCTCAGTAGATGTTAACTCCTTTTCCCTTATGCCTCTAAACATGCTACACACACACACACGTAAGTACGTACATATGCATATATATATGTGACAAAATATTTTAATTTGTTCGATAAGTAATTATATGAGGTTCTGAGGATACAAAGCATGTACAGTCATGTACTGCATAATGACATTTTGGTCAACGACGGACCACATATTGAATGGTGATTCCGTAAGATTGGAACCATAGAGCCTAGGTATGCAGTATACTATCTAGGTTTGTGTATGTACACTCTATGATGTTTGCACAACGACAAATCACCTAATGATACATTTCTCAGAAAGTATCCCTGTCATTAAGCGATGCATGACTGTATTACAGAGTCTGTTCCCACAGAGCTCAGAGTCCTGAGCCCCCACTTCATTCCTGGGGGAAGTGAAGCCAACATGATAGGTGTCATCAAAGAAGTAGTCTCAGGATATTACTGGAGGAGCAAAGGCAGGGCTGAGTGAAGGGCTGCGTGGGGAGGAGACCTCAGAAGATTCCCCAGAGTACGGGGTCTATAAAAAAGGAAGAAACATACTTTAGGAAAAGGAAAGGGTATTCAAGATTATCGTAGAAACTGTGATACAATGACAAGAGATGAGGCTAGTGAGGTGGGAAGGGTAGAGATCTCAAATGTGTCTTGGGTATGAAGCTAAGGAAAGTGAACTTTATAGTGAAAGTTATGAAGTGTTATTGAACAAGTTCAAGCAAGGGAGTGACATCACCTGATCTGCATTTGAGAAAGCTCCTTTTGGGAGTGATGTTAAAGATGGATTGGAAGAGAGGCAGACACAGAGCAGGGAGAACTATTTGAAATTGATTGTAAGAACCCAGGTGAGACAAGATGAAGGCCTGAATTAAGGCAGTGCCCACGAGAGCTGAGAGAAGGAGACACATTCAGTATTAGGAGATGTAATCTTCAGGATTTAGAGACTGATTAGATGTATGTGGAGGGTGAATGAGCAGAAGGGGAGAATCAAGGATGAATATCAAGTTTCTTGCATAGGTGGATAGTGGGGACATTCACTAAACTAGATAATACAAGAGAAAGGTCTGAAGAGGGAGATCAGTTCAATTTTGAGTAAATTGGGCTGGAATTGAGTTTGGAGTACCTGTGAGTTATCCAGAGAGAGTTATGTAATAGAGATAGGGACTTCCAGATAAGATCTTTGCCAGAGTTGTAGGTTAGAAGTCATCAACTTATAGGCCATAATGATGCCCAAGGATGGGCCCCTGAGAGACACCACCATTTATCAGAAGAGTGCAGAAGAGGAGACTGCGAATGAGAAGAAAAGGAGTAGCCGAGAGTTAGGAGGAGAACCAGGGTTTGATGGTGTCTTAGAAACCCAAGGCAGAGAGGTTATCAAGAGGGAAGGGAGAGCCAACAGACTCATCTATTGCGAAGAGGTCAATTAAGATAAGAATGGGAAAATATCCATTGGATTTAACAATATAAGGCAATTACAGAAAAGTAATGAGAAGAGTCAGACTGCAGTGAGAAAGTGGACACATCAAATACAGACTACGGCTTTCAAGAGCTTTGATGTAAAGGGAAAGAGAAAAGACAATAAAAAATGGCAAGAGGTGTCAGTAAAGTTTTGCTTTGTTCTGTTTTGGTTTGAAGATGGTAGGGACTTGAACACGTTTACATTCTAGAGGGGAAAGAGCCAGTGGAGAGGAAGAGGATGAAGATTAGAAGAGAATAGACACAACTGACAGTCCAACATCTTGCATGAACTTATACCACCTCCTGACTGGAGTGCTCCTCCATGCCATCTTTCCCTGGCCAACATCTAATCATCTTTCACCTGCTAACTTAACTGCCACTTTCTCAGTGACTTACCTTATTCTCTTAGTCATCACACCTGTTTAACATCCTTTGTCACTGCTAGACTGTACATTCTGAGAAGGCAGAGACTCTGAGTGTCTCGTTCCCAGCACGGGCACAGTGCCTGAGGGCACATAGAAGATGCTCAAATACTGAATCACAGTGTCATTGCACTCCTGGTAAGGACCAGCTCTATATATTAATAAAGTCCAGGTCAACTATAATATGCTACCTATTCGCACTTCTCAAGTAGTTTTCCACCACCTCTATTTGGCAATTCCAAGTTGAGTTAGCTTAGGAATACAGAGTAAAACTCTAGAACATGTGGCTAAAGTGAAGGCAGAAAAGTTAAGAGGCATTTCCCTGGGGGAGTGGACCTTGCGTTGTCTTCTCCATCTTTCTTCCTTAGCTATGACTAAGCCAAGGCAGGGGCTACAGCTACCTGAGTCTTTTTACCTTACTCACAGACCCAAGACATAAATACTGTATTCTAGAGAATTCTCTGTGATTAATTAATAGGCAAGACCATCAGGCTTTCTGGGGATTGGATTATTTGTAGTAGTATGGTATTTTTTACTATTTCCCAGCTTTTATTTGGGTAAGGATATATTTAGAAAGTGGATCCCCAAAGAAGTTATGTGCCCCTACCACACTGAAGTTTCTGGAGAGACCATGCCATTTATCTACGCTACCCAGTGCCTCCAGTAAGGCCTGGCACATAGTGCTCGACAAATGCTTGATGAAAGAATGAGCAAGCTAGTCTTCAATTAGGTTGAAACAGGATTCTGTCAGAGGTTCACTTATTCTGGCATGCACTTGTATCAGGCTACCTTACTTTACTTTTTATTTCTTGGTAGGAGCCAACTCTCCTACATGGCCACACATGGCATGGTCAGTTGCCCAAGTTTTGGTTGGGGTGGGGGAGGAGTTAGTAGCCCCCTCATTATCGCATACCTTTCTTCTTCCAAAGTCAGTGTTTCTGACGTAATATCAAAAAGGAATGTTCCTTGTGATTTGTTTGGCTGTGGGTAGAAGCAAGTTGTAAACTAAACCTCATGATGAAGTGTTCTCATTACATTTTTGGCTCTGTCTTGCAGGCCGTGTACTTTGAGCATTGGGCACTTACTCAGATTGATTCAAAATGCCAAACCTTAATGAGTTCGAATTTCACCAATTCTAATCCAGATTTGAGTGAGAAGCAGATGGTGGGAAATGGTGATGGTAGGATCTAGAGCAAACACGGCCCTCCCAGGAGAGGTAATTTAGAAGCACTGGAGCTGACAGTTGCTCGCTGTTGGCCAATTCAGCACTGTGAGGAGGGCACTTTTCTGTCCTTTGATGGCAGAGCAGCCTCCTCCCTAGTAAGATAGTCAAGCCCTCTGGCAGTCCCTTCACGCTGAAGATTAGAGTCTCAGTGGCAGCAAAGCCAAGTACCCGATTTCTTCCCACCTTCTATGTGCCGGCCCCTCTCCCCGTCATCACACCACCATCCTAGTAATGGTGATGCATGGGTGCCATGGACTCTCACTTCCCAATTCTCTGCTTCCTGTGACTAGAAAAGGAAGCCAGAGTCTCCTGAGTAATCATTTGAGTCTTGGATGAATGTCACCTAGTCTTGGGGACAGCAAGATCAGAGGTTTAAGGGAAAGACTTGGCCTGTGGATGAATACAGCGAAGCCTGAGTGGCTGTATTCAGTGTAATACAGTAATACAGTGGCCCCTGAGTGAGTAATCAACCCTGTTCCCTGCCTCGTCTCTCGGGAGAAGGTTATCTGTCATTTTCTTAACGTTCTCAGTAGCATTCTAGCTAACATTCCCTGCTGAATCAACAAATGCTCTAGGTACCACGTTAAATGCTTTATTATGCATTATCTCACCACAACTCTAGAAATTATTATCCCCATTTGATTGACCAGGAAACTAATGATTAGAGAGGATACGTAACTTGTCCAGTGTTAATAATGGTAAGTTGAAGAGAAGTATTTGAACATAGCTCTCTTTGAGATGTAGTAGGTGCTCAGTCACCACCCTTCACATGAGTAGCGTGAAGTGTCAAGGCCAGTACTCCCACCCGCTCGTTCTACAGCTCCATTTTCTTTCAGCATTGCAGTCTATACCTCCTTCTTAACCACATGCCTTCAAATGTATTCAGATAAGACCTGGGAGAATTATTGCAGTCAAGTAGGGCCTTGGAGAGAGGGGTCAGGTCAGATGTGGAGAGGGCATGATAAAGAATTCAAAATCTAGCTTTATCATGACCTACCCTTTCAAAAACAAAAACCAAATTTAAGATGCAGAATACAGGGCCGGCCCCTTGGCTTAGAGGTTAAGTGTGTGCGCTCCGCTGCTGGCGGCCCCGGTTCGGATCCCGGGCGCGCACGGACACACCGCTTCTCCGGCCGTGCTGAGGCCGCGTCCCACATACAGCAACTAGAAGGATGTGCAGCTATGATATACAGCTATTTACTGGGGCTTTGGGTGAAAAAAAAAAAAAAAGTAAAAAAGAAAAGATGCAGAATACAAATGAGACCAGAGAAAATCCAGGCCACAAACCCCTGCAGCTGCTTGCCAGCCCCATTCAGGGCTGCCAGCCTAATGTTCAGTGATGATCTTTACTCTGTGTAACGTGATGGCAGCCACCCCTGGGTTCCTGCGTGTGGAATGCACTCATGCAATTGATTCATTCATCAGTCTCCATTGATGACCTATGGACAAAGTGCTGCACAAATAAAAAGATGCATAAGACACAGGCCCTGTCCTCCAGGAATTCACAATGCAGGAGGTGAACAAATATTTAGATTCTTCCTTGACTTCCAACAAAGAGACATTCTTCAAGGTGCAAAATGCATCAGCAGTGCTGAAAATGGAATTCTTGCAGCATGAGGTTGGTCGAAATGACCTCGAAACCTGTTGTTTTGATCTCTAAGAGTCTATAATCCCATGAATCCTATAGCTTAACCCTTGAAGCAGAAATTGCTTGTGTCATGGCAATTTTCGAATAAAAGCACAGCTTCTATTAGCATCAGATTTTTCAGAACAGCCCTGATTTCAAATATCTTGTCATAAATAAGTGTAGGTGGAAAGCTACATTTAGTAGTTGGTGTCTCTTTAAGCATGTGTCTTTCTGCGTCAATGACTGTAAACCCAGTCCTTTGAATAGTAACTCAAGGCACTGTTTCCTAGAACCTGTGGTGTTTGCAGTCCTCTCACCTTCGCTTCCTTGGCTCCGTGTGGCCAGGAAGCTCTTTGGGGCTGCTTGTGCGTGCTCTGAGTGTCTGTATGCTAATTGCACTTCCCCACGGACTGCAGCTGCTGGATGGTCATATGCTTCAGCATGCCTTTATATAGTATCTTTTGTCTGTGTGGTTGCAGTCAGTCCAATTTAATTCAGATCAGCAAAGGTTATCAAGCACATGTTCTAGGCACTGTCGGGGATATAGAAACAAATGGCACTATCAGATATACTCAAGTATGAAACAAAGGAGATGGTTAAAAGGGAATGAAAGAGGTCTAAACAAAGGGATGTGTGAGAGAAGGCTAGAAGAGAAGAACTCTGCCTGACTTGAGGTAGGAAGACCTGGGGGAGGAAGTGTGGGCTGAACTAGGCCAGAAGCACCCAGAAGGGTGCAGAGAGCATGCCCCATGCAGGGGACAGTAAGAGTAACACAGGAAAGGAGCCGAATGGAGGGTGCCTGGGGAGTGGGAGACCCATTTGCAGAGTCAGGAAGGGATGGTGCTTCTCACTGTAGGTGCTGTTGTTTTATAAGGACCGTGCAGAGTGTGTGTGTGTGTGTGTGTGTGTGTAAGAAGCAGCAGTGGGAATAACTCAGTTAAAAATTCAGGACCAGCAACAGAGTTGAGAACGAGGGTTGAATTATAGATATCTTTTCTGAGAAAAGAAGATTAAAGGAGAGGTTTTCTTTTTTGTTTTGTTTTGCTTTCTGGCTGTTAGTTTTAAGTAGGTCATTGGAACCTCCAGTGGTTGGAAATTACTGGGCGAGGGGGAGTTAGGTTGGAAGAGCACCGTTCTGGAGTTTTCTTCTCCCAGCACTCTTTCCTTTGCTGCTCACATAAGATTTAAGGGGCCGACTGCCAGTTGGCACTGTTATTTTTACATATATTTGCCTGTAATAATAAATCCCAGAAGTGTTTATAATTGATTAGTAGAAATAAGTTGAAGACTGTATTCTCTTCATGTTTCTCCTTTTTTTTGCAGAGCCCACATTTCCTTCCAGGATCTGCTCATCAGCACCTCTACGCTATTTGCTATTCGTCTGTCCCATCGTTTTGTTCATTCTTCTGCTCGTTTCCCTCCTCTGCTTATACTGGAAGACCAGGAAGTTGTCAAGACTGAGTCTAAACGCACAGAATGAAAAGGCTCTCTGGATAGACTTGAAAGAGGCTGGAGACAGGACCACAAACAGGAGAGAAGAGGAGGATAAAGACAATTGAATCCCAAGAGGCGCCTGCAGCCCTATGGAAAGAGTGTGGACTTTGGAATTGGACTGACTAGGATATGAATGAATCCTGGTTCTGTCCTTCTCTGTGTCTGTGGCTTTGGATAACTTACCTAGGAATCACAGGGACATTTATTGAGTGCACGGTACAAGGCACTGTTAAGTGTTTCTTTGTGTATTACCTCATCCACCCCTAGCATCCCCCTAGGAGCTAGATGGCATCGTTATCCCATTTCACATTTGCCACACCTCACAGAGATTCAGAGTCCCCATGTGTAAGGAGGAAAGTGCCTTCCTCACATAGCCTCTTGGTGGTTAAATGAGACCTATGGCAAAGCCCAGGGTGAGGCTTCCCTCTGCTGTCCACCTCTCTATGTCACTGATCCCCTCGGAAATGCCCATCAAATCTGCCTCCCAACAAGAGCATGACCTCCTTCAAGGCAGAAAGCCCATTTTCTTCCTCCATCTCATCTATAAATGCCACTCAAGAGCAAGCTCTGCATAGTAGGTGCTTCATCCATATTGGTCCTTTGATAAAATGATAACATTTCGTGGCCTGAGTTTCTTTTTCTCTTTTCTTTAAGACTCATTAAGTCGTTGCTAAGGAAAAATCTTTTTTTTCTCTTTAATTTCCCAACAGTGTTCCAGTCAGCCCCCCAAGGGCTCAGGTCTCCCTTCCTCCCCACACCAAAAGGTCCAGCTGGCTTCTGGTTCTTAGCCGATGCCTTATTTTCTTTGACTTGACAGCACTGGGTGGTAGGAAAGGGTGTGGTGGTAGTTCTTTGCCACCATCCCCTCCTACTCCAGCAGGGGCTAGGAGTTCAGGGGGAGCAGTGGGTCAGTTCTCGTTCCTCAAGATTCCTATTCCCAGCCAGGAAAAGTCAGAGGTGTTGGTGGTGGTGGTGGGGTGTCATGGCTTAAGGCTTTCAAAACCTGTCCCCCAGGAGACAACAACTGTCCCCACTGGCCCTGAGGTCCCCTCTTGTTTGAAAAAAGCTGCTCAGGCCCTGTTGTAGCCAGAATTGGAAATCAATCAGTGCCCCCTAACAGACTTGAGAAAACACAGGTAATTTATTTTCTATGTGACCAACAGTGTTGCTTTAACACTCAGTAATTTGCATTTCCAAGAAGAATAATTCATTTTTAATTATTTTATCAGGCACACACATCCTCTCCAAACATAATTAGTTCCTTTGCAAGGGGATTATTGGTGGCTATGGGAACTCCCACTGTAGACCTACCGGTTCCTGAAATTCATCTCCCTTTATAGCCTCATTTGAAATACTCCAAATGTTGCCTTAAACATGTCAATGTATTTGTTTCTTCTCTCTCAGGTAAGCGAGCATATTTTTCAGAAAACAAAGGTAAAGTCAAGACTTCTTAGAAAGTATGATACCCCCCCATTTTTTTTTAGAAACATGTATTTTAATTGGAATATTGAAGGGAAAAAAGAGTGGAATTGAGCCCTGTCAGAGAATCAGAGTAGATTCTGGTGCTGTCGCCTTCCTGGGGTTCTCTTTTCCCCAGCCCCTCGCCTCCTTCTTCACCTGGATACCACCTTTCAGCTCTTAGCTCAAACACCACGTCTTCATGTTTGAATCCAGCACGGAGATTGCACGGAGCAGACACTCAGTTATCCAACTGCTCCACGCAAAGAGAGCATGGGCATGATGACCTCTCAGTGAGCGCCTCCTGCGTGTCTGGCGCTGGAACAGGGGCGCGGGAGCCAGTGGGGACTCAGGCAGACACAGCCCTGCTCCCCTGAGATTATCATTCTGTTTGTTCCGATGCTCTGCTTTCATTGATGGGATCTAGAGCACATTAGATTTTCTAAGAAGCCGCTTTGCACTATTTGGTCCATAGTGAGTTTTCAGGCAACTAAAACCACAAAGTCTTCTTTTTTCCTTTTTGAACTTCTAGAATAAAATTTGTTTTTATCTAATTCAGTAGACATATTACATGAAACTTCTTTTCTCTCCAATTATGTACTTGTTCATTTTAGTTTTTAAAACTTAATGGAGGACTTTATTTTTATACCTTGATTTCAACTTCTCCATTCTATGTTACCGCTTGGTTTAACTTTCAGCTTCTTGTGTTATAAATCCTCCTTGGCAACAGGACAAACCTCTGTCTCAGGAGTTGGCTAACTATGGCCCACAGGCCAAATGCAGCCCACCACCTGTTTTTTTAAATACAGTTTGTTAGAATACAGCCACTCCCATTCACCTACATATTATCTGTGGCCGCTGTCACAACATGGCAGAGTTGAGTGGTTGCCACGGAGACTGTATGACCTGCAAGGTCTAAAATGTTTACTATCTGGCCCTTTCCAGAAAAAGTTGGCCAACCCCTGCTCTCTTAGTGGCTGATGTTCTATCTGTCTTAGTCATATATTATGTTCCTGGGAAACTTGATTTGACTTATTATATCTGTACCTGTTGTATATCCGATTAATTTAATAAAGAAGCTGAGTCTCTCAGGATTGGTGTCTAGTCCAAGCTGTTGTGAAGTTTGCATCTTCTCTACTCCACTCCTACTAGAGATGGGAAACTCATCACTCCCATTCCACACCATCCTATTGAGTACCTACTCTGTGCAGGACGAGATGACACAGAGAAGAGTAAGGCATGAATAAGGCTTCTTTCATTATTTTTAGTCTGTTGAGACATGTATAGGAACAACTGATTTATGGCAGAAGATGAATGCAATGGTAGAAAGTCACATGCCATAATAATTTCTTACAATTCTACAGGAGTTGTTCATCATCTCAGAGTTTCACAGCATCCTCATGCAAAAGGGATTGTTATTCCTGTCCTGAAGGTAAGGAATTGAAGCTCAGAGAGGTTGGGATTCATCCAGGATCACCCAGCCATATGCAGAAGAGTCAGAGCTCAAATTTAGGTCTGTTGATGACAAGTTCCAAACTCCACAATAAACACTGGGCTCAAATCCATTGCTAAAGGGGAAATCTGGTGATAATAATATTCACCTCACATGGCTGTTATGAGGATCAAATCAGTACTTATATGGAGATATGTTTTAAACCATTTCAAGTCATAAACAAAGGTTGGCATAACTTAAGTTTTTCCAAGCCTTACGTGTCTGTATCATCACTAATAATCCAAATTCTACAGACTTTTGCTCCAGGCTGCTTACGCAGAGTCTTGGCCATCTGTAAAGTGTTCTTCAGTATTTCTGGGGATTCCCTAAGATTTGGGAAATTCATATGAGCTCACAAACAAGTCCACTCCCACGTGGTTTCCTGCTGTTCTGTTCAGATCTACGAGCTCCCACTGCAATTGGCATGCTGGAGCACATGAGATGCCAAAGCTAGACTGTGTTCAGTGGTAAGCAAGGAAAAGTGCCTACCTCTCATTCTGTCTTTGCATTATACTCTGTTTGGATTGCAAACGAACCCAAGATTGCTTGTGATCCCATTTCTCTAAAGGTTCTCTTGTGAAAACAGCTCCTTTAGCTTTTGCCCAATATCTCCTTTCTCCACAGGGTCCTGAGACCAGCCAGTCTGGGACCAGTCTGGGAGACAAGACTTCTTGCTATGCTGTCTGTTTCCCATTCTCAGCTCCCAGGAACCTCTGTACTGACCTCTTCATCACAGGCTCCCTTTCTCTCCTGCATGTGGGTCATGCAAATTATGTTTGTGGGGAGGGTCCCCATTCATCCAACAAGTCCAGAGAAGTTTGCATTACCTGTAGGCTCAGCTGGGACTTCTGTTATGCTGGCTATTAATCTTTACCCGTAATGCAGTCAAGTGCTGTGGGCATTGAGAAATCAGAGACAGCGTCACACAGGAGATGTCATTTGAACTGGGCTTTAAAGGTCAGGAAATATTTTGACAGGAAGTTGGGGTAAACAGTCTGGGGGCAGAGGTAGCTCCACGAAAAGCATAATATGTAGGGCCGTCCCCATGGCTTAGTGGTTGAGTGCACACGCTCCGCTGCTGGCGGCCCGGGGTTCAGATCCCTGGCGCGCACCGACACACCGCTTCTCCGGCCATGCGGAGGCCGCGTCCCACATACAGCAACTAGAAGGATGTGCAGCTATGACATACAACTATCTACTGGGGCTTTGGGGAAAAAAAAAAGGAGGAGGATTG